AATAATAATAATAAAAAAATAACTACGTACCCAAACCTAGCTCGTAGCTATATTGTCAAGAAGTAGTAGCTAACTTTTTTTTTTTTGTTTTTTTTTTTTTTGAAGCAAGTAGTAGCTGACTTTTCTTTGGGTTAAACTAATCAAAAGCGAGTTAGGTTAAGCAAAATTCACAATATTCTTCAAAAAGAAAATTAAAGCAAATTAAATAAAGAAAAAGGGAGAGAGAGACACATAGAACGATCTTGTCGTCTCTTTAGGAATAAAAATTAATTGGTGAAGAGAATATATATTATACACAAGTATGCATTAGCTTAGTCATATTGAAATAGCCGACTCATTAATTAATTAATTATCCTATAATATGATCAACGACTATACGACAATCAGACCATATATTATAGTTATAATTATTATAAGTATCTTTTTAATTATAAGAAGAAAAAGATAGATTTTAGGAGAAATTAACAACACTTTTTTACTACAAAATTACGTGCTCATGATGAGCACGTATAATGATAGAGCATGTATAATGATATGGCATGCGTGCGATCCATTGTACTTATGCTTATGATTTTTTTTGTAGTTTTTCAATAGATAATTGTATGTTTTTTGAGGTGGATATGATAATTATGTTTCAATATGTAAGCATAAAGTATCCTATATTATTATTATTATTATTATTATTATTATTATTATTATTATTATTATTATTATTATTATTATTATTATTATTATTATTATTATTCATGGGATTTGTTTTTGGAGATTTCTATATACTCCATTTGAGTTTATAAAATATGTGCAATTTTTGCTTTTGAATTTCGTAGACTTTGATTGTAATTATTAAATCATTGTATGAAGAATATTACTTTAATTTTATTTCTATGCTCTCTTCTATTGGAACATGTCTTTTTGTAGTTTTTCTTACAATTTTTGACAATATGATCCATTCAAATGTTTTAAATAAATTATCATTATGTGATATCATGTGTATCAATATGTATTCAACATTATTAACTTAAATTATCTTTAATTATACTCCATAAATACTCAAAGGTTTGAATGGCATGATGGAAAAATTTTGTATTAGAATCGATATAAGAATTAAATATGTTGCAATTAATCAAATTCTTGCAATCAATTAGTATTACGAAATATTTGGTGAGATTTATTTCAATTTTTGTTTGATTTTCAAAATTATTAGGGTATTTTTGGGTTAACATTAATGATATTAACCTAATAAATATATTAGGTTAGCCAATTTAATTTGCACATTAAAGAACATTAGGAAAGAAATAATGTTGTAAACCATATCATTATGAAGGATTACACAACATGTTTTCATATTTCACTAAACAAACTTTATGAAGTTGACTTTTATTTATAGTGGAATATAGGATGATTGAATCAACCATGTCGCTATAGGTTAATTTTGCACATACAATAACACGTACTTGATGTGTGAAACTACTCAAACTATTCAATTAAGTTAGATACATAGTAATGATATGATATCCGAAATTAACAAGTTGGTAATGAACAACAATATATGTCAACCTCCAATGCTTGTGATCCTGATCACGCACATACCGTTTTTATGATACAATTGGTAGGAGATCATTGTCATTAAATATATACTCCCTTTTGGGCAACAATTTATTGGTTTGTACCAATTAATGTCACAATCTACTTCTTGCATCATTTGCACCTCATTATTGGTGCACCATTGCTTGGACTTTTATCAACTTATGACGCCTTCCATTTTATTAATGCGTCACACATTTAGACTATTGCTCCAATACTTCTATACATTCATCATATAATTATACGTACTATGACTTCGTATAAATTCAGGTGAATATACAAAGAATTATGGTTTCTTTTGGCCTAATTATATTGTTTACAATGGAAAAAATTATATGATAACTCATTATCCCTATATAAAATTTAATAAATTTTGTTACACAATGAAAGCTCCATGTGGATATGCTAATTAATTAAGAATGTTCAATATTATAAGAGTGGTTAGTTGTGTAATTCGGTTTTTTGTTTTTTATGTTTCGGGCTTGGCCGCCCTCTTCTGCACCAAAAAAAAAAATTGTTCAATATACAAGCGCGGGTATTGATTAGAAAATACTACAAGTATACAATTAATATGGTCATATGTGAAATGACTAAGCTAATTAATATGAACTTTATGAAGAGATTATCTTTCAAAAGCTAGTAAGGGTCTGTTCTCATACGTTGAAATTCAGTTCAATTCAGTTTATGTCTAATGATATTGCTGATGATATAAAGCCAAATTTCATTCTTTTAAGCTCTTATTACAACGACGATAATAATTTTATTCTTTTAAGCTCTTATTACAATGACGATAATAATAATAATAATAATAATAATAATAATAACAAAAAATTTAAACTTTTATTTTATTTTATTTTATTTTTAATTTTTTTTAAAAGTGTTTTGTGTTCTTTTGTCATAATACTATTTTATTTTTAAATTATATTGTATATGTGGTTAAAATGTTTTGGGGTTTCATGTTTATAATATATTTTCCATAAATATTATAATTATAAAGTATATTTTTCATAAATATTTTAATATGTACATATGTATATACACATATGTATAGTAATAAATAATCAAAGATCACTAATCCATAGTTAAAAATCACTAATTACTAAGTTCAGTTCAGTTCAGTGCAATTTAATTCAATTCAATTCAGCTGATTTCAGTCAACGAGAACAGCCCTAATTAACTAGAAACATTATGAAAATAATGAAAAGGCTCATAATTTAGAATGGAATTTCATTGTGCTCCATAGTCCAAATTCCTTTTTCTAGTAATAATGTATCATTAGACCAACTGAAATTTGACACATTGAGTTCTATTCTCTCACACCTCACAATTGAGTAGGACTGTAGGAGTCTAGGATCATGCATGCATGTCACGCCAAAAAATATGTCTATAATTATCAATCAAAGATATCTCATCAAATTACGTCCTTCAAAGTAATTTTAAAGTAGTCTTGGACGTATTTAAGGATGTTTTTGATATCTTATTGAAGAAATTGGAGCATTATTAATTACGGAGTATTTCTCTACTATCATACCTTTAAATCATTGCTCTTCAAACTATACAATAAAGTAAAATAACAATTTAGAAATAAGTTAAGGACTATTCACTTTACCATATAATAATGCACCGTAATTTCAATAAAAAATAATTTCAAGTCAATAAAAATAAGTTCGTTCAGCTCAGTAAAATTCAGTAACTTTGAAGAAGAATCATAATAGAGAAATAGTTAATAAAAAATTTCAATTCAATAAAAATAATTTCAGTTCATTAAAAATAAGATAAGAAGACTTAAACTAAACAAAGTCTTACAGCATATTTTACTTATTGTGTCATAAACTTATCATATTGGAAATTTGATACTAAATTAACTTTACTCTTTGTAAATTTAAAAAAAATATATATATAATAATAATAATAATAATAATAATAATAATAATAATAATAATAATAATAATAATAATAATAATAATAATTGTTTGTAAGTTGTGGATATTCACAACCCATTTCGCACAACAATATTATGTTCTTTTTACATAACTTTCACTTTTTCAGCTATAATAAGTTTAGATAAATTTAGTTTTAATAAGGATTAACAAAGTTAAAGCTATAACTAATAAAAATTTTAGTAACATCTAATAAGTTCAGATAAGTAAAAAGGTAAATTGAACACACAATTACTTTGGTTGTACTTTTAAATATAAGAAACAGAGACGGTAACACTAATGGTTTAGTATCAATTTCAAAGTAAGATTTAAAATCATTCAAATTCATAAAAACACTTCTTTTGAAGAGATTATTAAAATGCTACTAGTATATACTTTGAAAGTATGAATAGATAGGACAATATTAAGATCAGGACAACGTTTATCATCCTGAAACACATTCCCTAAACTTAAAAATTTAGTTTTAATGTGTATACAAAATACAATGTTACTGTATTTAATATCATTATGTATGGAGACATCGAGTAAGGTCTCGTTTACTTCACCTTAAAAAATAATATTCAATAAAAATAGTTTCATTTCAATAAAAATAAGTTCAGTCTAACAAATATAATTTCAGTTCAGTAAAAATCAGTAAATTTAAAGGAAAAAAATAATAGAAAATCAGTGAAAATAATTCAAGTTTAGCAATGTCGTTCACTTCACCTTAAAAAATAATATTCAATAAAAATAAGTTTAGTGTAGCAAAAATAATTTTAGTTTAGAAAATATAATTTAGTTTAGTAAAAGTCAGTAACCTAAAAGGAAAAAAATAATAATAGAAAATCAGTGAAAATAATTTCAATTCAGCAAAAATAATTTTAGTTAAGCAAAAATAATTTCAATTCATTAAAAAAATAATTTTAACATAGTAAAAATAAAGTGACGCCTTATTCTTTTTACAAATTATTTGTGTAATAATATGCGTTAATACATAAATGGTTTATGGTAATATGTAAACACCAATTTGCTCATTCAGCTATCTAATTATTAAAAAATTATTTTTAAGTAAACATCTTGTTCAAAATCAAATTAACTTTTTTAATTTAGGAAAATTCACATAACTAAAAAAACCAACTTTGACCAATCTTATTGAAAGTATCTCCACTTCATAATGTGAAAGAATTAAGTACATTTTTTTAGACACAATAATTTAGTGAAAAATTAAGGGTCTGTCCTCATACGTTTATTTTCAATTCAGTTCACTTCATCTCCTAATTTCCTTCTCTTATAAAATATTCATTTCATTTCACTTCACTTTAATTCAGTTCAGCTCAGTATATGAGAACAGGCCCTTAGTACAACTTTACATTAAATCAAAATAACACAAATAATGTTTTACACAAAACCATTTTTTGAAATCATCTCAAAACTACTCGTCATATTTTAGTACTCCTAATAGTTCAAAGGCTTCGAAATAGCCAAAAGCTGAAAGCCTTGATTTGAAATTAGTAACTATAACATCATGGGTAATTTACTAAATTACAAAGGGAGCATCATGATGAAAAAACCCCTAAAAAGCCAAAATTCCAAGGGATAACATAATTTCCTAATGAAAGTTAATATTGTAAGACTAAGAACACTCTTGTCATATCACTAATCTTTTGTTTTCTTTTTCCAACTTTAAAGCATCTAAAATTCTCTACAAGGTCACAAACTAGCAATCCATCCAATCAAGCAACAAACAATATTGAAGCTATCATCATCACAATTAAAAAGAATCCAACCAAAATAAAAAAATAAAAATAAAAAAAAAAGAATTTTTTTTTTTCTAGAAATTAAAGAAAAAAAAAACTCATTTTTTGTACATGAAAAAAAAGGCTAAAATAGCCAGTACATGATCTCATGATTCATGAAGCAGCCTGATGAGCTTTACCATTACAAAAGGGCAACATGGACACCTTAGGCTTACCAAGAGACAAGGTAACATTATCATCATCATGATCATTATTAGTACTAGCATTATTATCGCCCGAAGCAGCGGCGGTGCCATTAGTGGCGACAGTAACAGCAGCGGTGGGCTTAGCGACAACGGGGGTAGGAGTAGCCGGGGCAGGGGCAGGGGCAGAGGCAGAGGCAGCAACGGTGGGAGTGGACGTAGTAGTAGAAGTAGGGGCCACACGCTCACAAGAAGGGCACATAGTAAGAGTAGTAGCAGGAAGTTGCATGTAGAAAGGCTGTGAAGTTTTCAAGGCTCTTAATTCCTGAAGCTCCTTTTGTAATCTCCTGTTCTCTTCTGTCAACGTCTCACAGCACCTCTTTAAATACTCGCAATCTACCTCTGTCTGCTTCAGCTTCGTCCTGTGTCATTTTTAATTCCCACATTCATTCCAACTGTTTTTTTTTTCCTTTTTATTTAATTATACGGAGTAATAAATAATACAATAATAATGAATATAAATATGCATAGAGTATAGAGTATAGACAATAGCAGATTGTAAAGTAAGGAGTATATCATATCATATCCAATGAATATAACACAAAGATTTGCTTTCAACAGCTATACTTTATGATCTGACCTTACAACCAGACATAAATTTCATTGGAGAAATATAGAATAATTTTGAATAACTTAAAAACGATCCAACATTATTATTGTTTTATGGGTAATGCTTTATGTAGCCCTAAGGGCTATATATAAGTATTAAATACACTTATGAAAATTGTATAAATTTAGGAATTCATGACCAAAACATGCGTAAATCAGTGTAATTAGTTTTTATGATTTCGTAACTTTTTACGATTTTCAAGTGTAAATTTAATACTTATATATAGCCCTAAGCAATATATATAACATTTCCCTTGTTTTACTAAGAGAATGATACATGGTCCTAAAAAAATTTGCTATTTTCCCGTTTCATATATATATATATATATATATATATATATATATATATATTTGTTTTCCCTTCTCATTTAGAGCCTGTTCTCTCCGGCTTATTCAGTTCAGTTTATTTCAGTTTTTAGTTTTCTTCTCTCATAAAATATTCAGTTCAGTCAACTTTTATAAAATCAGTTCACTTCAGCTCAATAAATCAAAACAGACTCTTAAAGTCTTCTTGTACACAGAACAACATTAAACAAACGGATTACATTTTATAATTAATTAGTACGGAGTACATTTTAATGTTTATATGCAACTAAATTGCATATATCATAGACTTTGATATTAACAAAATTATTCGTTATTAATGTTTATAATCAATTCTTAATACTCCGTATTACATTATACTTGTATATTTATACTTCGTATATATCTAACCCTTTTTAATATAGTTATTCTTAAATCTTACTCCATAATTATTTTGTGATCAATCCCATGAACAAAAAGAAACGAGCAGCAATATGATAAAAGAAATTATTTTGGGATGGACCAATATAGTAGGGCCTATATATTATGTTTCATAATTGCCATCGAAGCAAATTCATAAACAAAACAATGATGGGACTTTTGATAGATGGAGAATGTATTTTGACCATTGAAGAATAAGACTTTCAAAATTAACTAATTTAACAAAATGTCATTGGTTAGCCATTACTTTTATTCATTGTTTTTGCTTCTTTTGGTAAGTTTCTTCTTATATTTCCTTACACAAATTAAATTTTAAAAAATAGAAATAAAAATCTTGCATGCCAAAGTCCATCCCAAAGTCCCAATTACCAACCTTTTGCCTATTTCTAACCCTTATAGATTCTTATTAAATGCACTTTTCTTTTGAAAGCAACCTATACTAACAAATTAGACCTGTTAAATAGGTTGAGTTAATTCGAATTATGTACGTACAAATCAGTGTTTAAGACTTCAAATCAACTCTATGTCAAACTACTAAAAGCACCATCGATATTCTAATTACAAATCGAAAATTTGTGTTCAATACCATAGATTTTCATTAGTATTTCCATTCAACCCTTCAGTCCTTCAAGCAAGATTTTTACTAGCCCTATTTATATACCTACGAGTAGCAAGCTAAAAATATAAATAAATAAAAGGTACATGTACATAATTTCAAATAATAGCAACCTAATAAAACTACTCTATCACTAAAATTATAATGTAGAAAAAAAAAAGACCAAAAACCAAGAGAAAGCATGTGAACAATCTAAAAATTGACCTTTATTTTACTTTTTCGTTCTATTGAACAGGTCAAGCAGTAAAAAAGATTTTGGCAGCCTATATTCAATAAAGATTAGATTTTGGCAACCTACTTTGTAATAAAAATTCATCACACGTGTCACTGTTCAATTTACAAAATTATACCCGTAATTATATAAATAAAATAATACGATTTGTGAGATGGAAAATTTAATTTCAACCTCAAAGCATTTTGGGTCAGAAGATAACTGTAAATTTTTTGGATTTAGCATCTTTAGATTTCATTCACATAAGGCAACAAGAAAAGACGAATTGTAACGACATTTTTTAGATAAAATAATAATGTTGGATGATGTCTCATATTATTATCGGATTACCCAAAAAAGAAAATATTTATTAATAATTAAAAAAATAAATACCTGGCTCGTCTATTCTGAAACCAAACTTCCACTTGACGAGGCCGAAGATTGAGTTGCTTAGCCAACGCAAGCTTTTGCTTCTGCAATTCATTTGTAACATTTGTCAAAACATGGGTGATTACAATCGCAATTAGATGGGCGTTATCTAGATTCTAGACGTGTAATTAAAAAAAACGGAGGAAGTATGTTATTCAGATAATGTTATTGTGGGCGGCCATATGAAACTAAAAATAAACACCATGATTAACGAAACCCGTAGACTAGTGACCAGTCAGATTAAGGATTATGTATGTAGTACTACCTTAATAAATTTATCCTAAATGTCACACTCGACCATTATTAAATGAAATCTTTGCATGTTTATTGACCAAAATAAATAAATGGCAAAGAGTACATAAAAGTATTGACAAATTCTAATACAAATTGTATAATTTGAAAGTAAACAAGGAGGTGCAACTTAATAATTACAAAGGATAGGCTTGTACCATAAAGCATGATCCACAAATTTCAACATATAGTAATTGACAATTATTGATTGTAGAGAATTTTGGACCACCACCTCCATGTTTTTATATTTTTTGGTCAAAATAAATAAAAATTAAAAATGTATTTGGACTCACACCACCTTCTCATAATAATAGGCATGCCATTTAAGTGGTGCAAAGGCTCCAATAGGTAATAAGGACCAAACCTTCATCATTCAATGTAAAACAATTTTTGTGTAATACAAAAACACTCAATTCTAATTGGTGTAGATAATACGATACAGAACGAGCACTCTATCCATCTCTGAAAGTTCTTCCTGTTATCGAATTTAAATAAAACGAAATTTAGAAAGATAGAAGAATTGACTTACAGGGTTCAAAGTATGGTGCTCTTTAAAGCTCTCTTCAAGAAAAGCCGATTGTTCCTTAGAAAGCCTAAGCTTTTTCCGAGTGGATCCATTCTCTTCATCATCACTTCCCTTTGAAGTTGTTGCCCCTATCATTTCTTGCCCATAATTATTGTTATTATTATTATTTTCATTTCCTCTCTTATTATTATTATTACTAGTATATAGAGAAAACTCCATAAACGACGACGTTCCGCTGTTCGGAGACGATTGTTCCTCGACTTCCTCCGCCGTTGTCTCCACCGCGGGCCGCCGGTTTGGATCCATGATTTTAGAACCCGGTCCGTCTGATGAACCCGGTTCAGAACTCACTGTATGTCCCACATGAAAATAAATAAACTTGCACAAGTCAAAATTTTTGGATTACCGATTCATAAACCCACTAAAAACTTTACCAAGTGCATATATACAAGTCAACTCTCATAAATAACTGGTCATTTATTTTATTTTTATTTTTTCTTAAATGTTTTACCATGGTTCAATTCAAAGGTATCCAAAGAAAAAAAATGACAAATAGCAATCAAAGAATTAGGAAACACATAATTTCTTAGCAGAAAAAAAAAAATATATTCTCTTATTTATGTGAATAATATATCTATCTTTCCTAAACAATTTTTTTTTAAGACATCGCAGTCAAAATAGGAAGAATTTTTTAGAGACGAACGAAGATTGAAATTTTTTATTATACGTTCGGGTGTAACTCAGACGGAGTACTCAAGTAAATACTACGGAGTACCAAATAGGAAAAAATAAATAAATAAATAATAATAAAAATATACGGAGTATATAAAAAAAATCTACATAAATAATACTCCGTATGAAAAAAATGAAAAGAAAATTAAGATGTACGGAGAATTAGAATAAAAACAAATATTGTAACAAGTTTTTTTAGGTGGGAATATTTCTACTTATTTTGACTTTGTCTTTTTTTTTTTAAAAAAAAAAAATTGTCTGAAATTAATTAAAAATTTGCAGCAATTGCATAAATGATGAAAATGAATTTAAAAACCGAGGTAAAAAAATAAAATTAAAAAAAAAAAAAGGAAGGGAAGAAAAATTACAATTATCAGTAAGCCAAGGAAAGCGAAGAGGAGGAGGTGGTTGAATAGAACGCGGAACAGGCGACAAAGGTAGCAGATCAAGCTGAAGCCTTGATGGATCTGACGATGACGATGAACCTCCACCGTTAATTTCTCTCTGATCATCTTCTTCCTCTTTCTCAGCCGTTGATCTTGATGATCCCATGCAGTAGCCCGCACTGTTACTCTCTACACCTCTGTTTCCCAAACTCAATGCTAACTCCATCTTTTTCTTTTTCTTTTTCTTTTTTTTTAAAAAAATTTTTAGAGAGAGAAAGTTGAGAGATAAAAGACTAGACTTTGAATGTTTTTTTTTTTGTCTACACAACCAAATCCCCCCTAAAAGGGGTCTGCTTTATATATAGGAAACTATATAATATAAAAGTATTATTTTTATATATTTATATTCAATTGTGATTATATTTGTAGTAATGTTATTATTGTTTTTATAACATACGACTATACGAGTAGTATCATTTTATTTTATTGATTGAATTTTTATTTATGGTATGAAATATTTAATCATAAAGATTGACCGACAAATCTTGTTTGACAAACACACGTGAATATATATAAATACACTTCTACGACGACAACCGTTTTCATACGTTTGTTTTTTTAGATTTTGTTGTTGTTGATTTTTATTTTTAATTTTATTTCTTAATTAAGAATAATTACTTTTAGTCTAAGGTAGTAATCATTTTGTCTAATACAAGTAGTACCAATTTAATTATTTAATTTTGTAATTTAATTATGGAGTGAGTGATTTTTTTTAATGGGACATTATTACTTCAATTGCATGGTTTTGGAGTGACTAGATCTTATCATAGCATTCCTTACATGTGAATTATTTATACACCTATACTTTCTTTTCTTTTTTTTTTTTAAATATACATCCAAGTATAGAGAAAGATTTTTGCTATTGTCAAAAAAAAAAAAAAAAAAAAAAAAAGAGAGAGAGAGGGAGAGAGAGAGAAAGATTTTCTGTAGAATATCTGCAGGATATATTTTGTAAAATACAATATTCTACGGAATTGGTAAGAGTATCATTGACAAGAACATATTTCTGTAAAAAAATAAATGATATATATGATGATTTTTCTCAACATAATCAAATATATAAGGAAACAAATCACTATAATATTCATTATTGTCCTAATATCTTGGCCAATAAATCCTATTGGTCATACATTATTGTTTTAATATCTTGGCTGATAAATCCTATTATAATTTAAAATTATTTAAACCTTTTGATTTTATTTCCTAGCTTAGTGTTCAATTGTACATTCACAGTTAATATTTGGTCATGATTGTTCATTCAATTGTCCATACCCACCTCATACTCGCCCCAAAACCGTCCCAAATCTATGATCATGATGTTGTATTATATTACATTAATGAAAATTATATCAAATTAGTTAAAAATAAAATTGAGACTTTTACTATTCAAGCTTATTGAACCTTAGGGAACATAAAGTTTCATAAATTTTAAACTCTTTTAAAGGACATATGGTGCGGGCATGGGGCGGGTCTACTCTAAAATCCATACCCGCCGCCCCATCACCCATGGCGGGTACAAATTTTATACTCATCCTCGTTCCATCACCCACCAAACCTCTCTCCATCCCCGCCCAGGGATGGGGTGGGGATGGAGCGGATATCCCATTTAACCCGACACATTGCCATCCCTAACCACAAGTTGTATAAGGTAATGGGGGATTTAAACCTATAGCCTATCATACATAGAACCTAAATCTTAATCACTAGGTCAGGACCTCATTATTGAAATCGAATTTATCATTAGACATAGCATGCTATATGTTAAGTTTTTGTATATTTGATTAATTAATCATTATGGCTTATAAGTCATTATTATATGCAGATAAATGAAATATCATCCATGACTAGCAGCACTACCACCATTGTTTAGCATTAGCTTTTAAGGTAGTTGTGTAGCTTTTAGACCTGGCCGGGTCAAAACACTACCTTAAAATAATATTAGTGTTTGGTGAAGTAGTGTTTTAAGTAGCTATTAGAGATAGATGTAGTTTTTAAGTAACTGTTGTTGAAAGCTAAAAAAGATAGCTTTTCAAATTGTAAAGTAGCGTTAAGTTCAACCTTATTTATTTTGTTTTTGTTTTATTTTATTTTTTTCTAATGAACTTTTTATTTTTATGTTTTTATCTTTTTGACTCAGTTTTATTTGTTTCGGTCAACCATAATATCAAAATTTTCTTTTCCATATCCTTTTTTCTGTTTTTTTCCCCTTCATTATGAGGAGTATTTTTGTTTTCTATCTTAGTTTTTAAATTGATTATTTATTAGCAATATATATTATACTATATACCATTTAAAATTATCAAACTATGATACATAACACGTCACACTACTACTACTACTACTACTACTACTACTACTACTACTACTACTACTACTACTACTACTAATAATAATAATAATAATAATAACAACAACAATAACTGTATGAATCACTCATAGTATGAACCACTACCTTGACATCTGACCTCTAATAACTATTACTTGACAGCTCACAGCTACTCAAAAGCTAATAGCCAACAACTACAACTAGTTTTGCCCACCCATGTCTAAAAAAAAAAATATCTATGGCCGCCATCATCAACTACTGTAGAAAATCTTTCTTCCATCTCCGGCTAGGTACGTAAAATGTCTTCGCAAGAAGCTTCCTGAGGTTCCAAGAGTGGCTCCTCAGGGGCTGCCGGCTCGTTCAAGTCCGGGAGACCCGGAACAGCTGGATCCTTAATACATACGAAAAGTTTTTCTTTAAAGCCAAACTTCAAACTTGAGCCTTACTGATAAATGATATACGTACAACCAAAAAGTTGGACATGTTATATACTTATATATTATGGTATGATGATAATAATAATATGATGGAATAGATCGAAAAAGTGCTTGACCATTAGACCATCTACTACATACTTATTACTTACTGTTATAAATACATAAGCATGCAGGAGAATTACAAGCTAAGTCCTACATTTGAATTGAAAATGAAACATATTTATTCATTACAATAAAATAAATTAATGTGGTATGTATAAATAATCTTGGTGATTATTACACATACGGACCCATTTCGATCTTTCAATTTTGATATGAACAAGTTGCAAATATTCTCGGTGATTATTTTAGGTTGCATGTAAAGTGAGAAAACCAGAGTTTAAGGTGTTGTTTAGTTCACCTTATTTTTACTTATTTCGGAAAAAATAAGTTTAGATCATCGTTTTATGTGCAGTTTTTTATCGCTAAATATCTTTAATTTCGTAATAAAAAATTCTGAAAATCACATATTAATAAAATGCACATTATTACGAATCTAACTATACTATACCCCACTTGATGTATTTATTTCGTATAGATTATCGTGTATTTAAGATTAAAGTTTGGTCAAATCTGACATTAAGGTCAGATTAGACCAGACCAAATTAGATCAGATCAAACCAGATCAGATAAGTTCATATAAGTATAAATAAGGTAAACCAAACAAGGCCTAAATTATAATTTAGTTGAATGTAGAAAATATCAATTCCATAAAAATTGGTTTGCCCTTGAAGTTTTCTATTTCTTATAAATTGCAATAACTTGCAATTGTTTGGTAAATTGTGGGAGGTCAAAGTTCTTTCTTTCTTTCTTTTTATTTTATTTTATTTTTAAAGTAAGGAGAAAGATTCTGACCGTACCTCAACGCTCACGGTTTTTTTGGTTCGGTATTTACGGATCAGATATTTTAAGAGTGAAGGGAAAGGGTAAGGGATCCCACTTTTATTGAGGATTGAACCCCCAAACTCAAGGTTGAAAGGTGACAATAATATTATTACCACTAGACCAAACTTAGCTTGGAGGTCAAAGTTCTTATGGAATATATATAACAATTCATAATTTTGTGGAAAGTAGACATAGAGGGTGCAAACTTCTAGGCTTATTTCAACTTATTTTTTTTTAAATTTTTAAAAATTATTAAACTCGTGCAAGATTAGGCAAAGAATCAATAATTTCATATTAACTCGTATAAAATAAAATAAAGGTCAATAAATCCAAATAAAATAAAATAAAATAAATACATACACAGTATAAGTTTAGCTAATACTATGTATAACATATGGTCTATATATAAGTTCCAACATAACCCAATAATAAGTACTTTGTACCAAGCAATAATTAGTTCTTATTTGTTACAATGAGCTCATAGTTTAGATAAAAATAAGTGAAATTCAATTGAATTGAACAAATCTACAAACTTTAATTTACCTTTTTATTTTCAATATCAACCAACCAAACATTAAATTAACTATCCCATATATTCTTTACGCATACGTAAATTTTACCGATACACATATGACTAAGCTAAGAGAGCAATAATCTAAGCTAATACACAACTAGACTTTGTTGTCTTTTCCTCTCACCTAAAGCTTAAAGGTAACAAAAAACGAATCAAGTTATGTTAGACTATGTCAATCAGCAAATCTAGTCATGCTAATGATTTGGACCTTAGATTATTTTCGTATGACTTGGTCACTTTTTCTAGCACTCATAGTAAAAATTTAGGGTCTTATTAAACCTTCTTTGGAACCGAAGTCAACGATATGAGTAGTAGAAACGCTAATTACGACAGAAAACCTTGCACCTAACGCTTATATTCCATAAAGATATATTATCAAGAATTGATTAACTTTTTTAATTTGTTAACATAATAATCATTATCATCCTTTTATTGATTAATAATAATTGGAAGCTTGAAAGAATGAGATAAATCGTACTAGTTGTTAATATAAAGAGTAATAGAAGACTATTCTTCGTTACACAAAATAGATGCATGTAATTATTTTATATCATATATCTGAAAAAATAAGTCATCCTATTGATTAGTAAGATGAATTTGTTCAAGATGTTGAATATTATCTAATGATTTTAAGTGAGAAAGCCCCTTTTTATTTCTTAATCGGACTCGCTTCTAGAAATGAATAGTTAAGCTATATGGAGTGATTGGTATATAACAAATTTTAGGCACGATCAGAGAATGTTTTCCTTCATAATAAGATGCACAACGTAATTTCATTCCTAGCTATTCTTTAAATTCATCCATATGCCTTATAATGGCAACGTATATATGACCATGCAACTGTTTACGTGCAAAATGACTTATATTGGTAGCGTCTAATTTATTCATTGCATCCTGCATTGGAAACGAAATAGAATATTAGAGTTTACCCAAAATTGATAAACACTTTGAATTTGTGAGTCGATCACAAGTTCCAAATCAAAGTGGATATTTTTAGGAATGACTTGAACGAAGTAGAGTCCGCATGTTTGATG